AGAAGACAATAGGATATTAAAGTGAGTGCATTCTTGTTAACCTGCTCATAGGCAGCTGAGTTATCTTGGCCTCACCCTGGCTCTTTTGGAAAAAAGCATTGTTTGATAAACAGGAAGTCGTTTCTGTGGGTGTAGGAAGAAGAAATGATAGAACTGAACGGCAAAGCAAAGAACTACTATCTGTGGTGAGCCTGGAATTGGCAAAAGGTTTCTCAGGTAGTCACCTAAAATCAGCATGCTGCCTTTCCCCCTTTCTAGGCTGGGTTCCTCCTTCATAGAGAACCATGAAATTCCTGCCCTGCTACTTGTCCTGCTGCCAGGGTATGTTCATTTCCAACTGGTGTTTTGCATCAGCTATGAGTTGTAGACTTAGCAGACAAATGGAGACACTGTCTGTTTAGAGTGGAAAGTGACTTATTTTAAGAAATGTTGGCTCCTCCCCACTGTCCCATTAGTGGCATACCTCTGACACTCAGTGAAGCTGCCCTAGGGAAACTAAGACTGGCTTATGTGTATTTTCGCTCTTTGAAAGGTTAGAGCCTAAATGCACCACAAGATATTTCTTCCTGGGTAAGATTGGGACACAATTACAAAAAGGGAATTCTGAGGCAAACTTTACCTGCTAGTGCTCTAATACTTCTGACACTTTAGAGTTCATTCTCTCTACTTCTGTATTACTCCTTATAGGGTATATCAATCTCTTAGTGTCACTAATGTTATTCTATTTGTAAGGAAGAACTTATAAAAACAATTAAAGAAGACAAATGCCAAGTGACTTATGGTAATTGGAAAGTGAGAAAAAACTTAAACTCTTTTACTTATGATAAGACTTGAAACCATTTTTTCCTTTTAACGGAGCATCACCTCATCCCTGTCTGCTTTAGGTACTTAGAGTGAAGTTGTGGTAGAAGAAGACTTTAAATTTGCCCCAGACTTATAATGGCAACCAAATAGATAAGTGGTTAATTTTTATTTTATCTATTTGGAATAGGGAGTCTTACACTGTTGCTCAGGCTGGAGTGCAGTTGCATGATCATGGCTCACTGTTTCCTTGAACTCCTGGGCTTAAGCAATCCTCTTACCTCAGCTTCCCTTAGTAGTTGGGACTACAGGCACACATCACCACGCCTGGCTAATTTCTTTTTATTATTGTTTTTTGTAGAGACAAGGTCTTCCTATGTTGCCTAGGCTGGTCTCGAACTCCTAGGCTCGAGCAATCCTCCCACCTTGCCCTCCCAGAGTGCTGGGATTACAGGCATAAGCCCTGCACCCAGCCTATAAGTAGCTAATTGATGATGAAAAAGAACTTACTGTGTGGACTTTACTACGCAGGTGGTGTCTCATTGAGGTTTGTTTAGGTTCAGTGGGGGGCAGAGGCAGGAGTCTAGAAGAAGCAGAAGCTAGGATCATGGCCATGGTGTGGGGCAGTTAGGACTGGGGAGATGGGTGGTATTTGTAGCCCAGTCTTTGGTAGCGCTAGTTCACTGAGTTGCCGGAAAGAAGCAGAACAACTCTTCAGGGTTCCTTGCAACTGGAGTTTATTCTGACAAGGTCCAAAATATATTTTACTTTGTATATTGAGTGGATTCAGGACCCATTTTTATTTATTTGCCTTTTGAAAGTACCCAGTATTTATTCAAATGCTGTGACTAGGTTGGGGTACTGCTCTGGATTTCTTCACTGAAGGTTAAATATCACATTTGAACTTCAAGAATTTTTGCTGCCTGCCTATAGAGTATATACGAATATAAAGCAGCCATTTGTCAGTGGGCAGCTGAAAGGCAATTTTCAGCAGGGGCTGAAAACCACCGCAGGCTGCCAGCTTCCTGGCACACCCACTAGACCTCATAGGTTTACACTGAAAGCAAACCACCAGGAGGGGTGTGGATTGGATGGGCAAAAATGAAAGCGCAGGCGAAGATCTTAAGGAGATTGAGCCACCAAGAGGGATCTGTGTGTGGAGAAGGGCACAGTGCTCTCACAGAGAAGAAAACTTGAACTCCAGGCACAATGGCTAGGAGTAAACAGCTCATGTTTGCAGCTGATACTTTTTTTAAAAAAAAAAGTGATTTATGGATCTTCCTCTATCTATAAGTATAGGGTTACTGACTCTGGGGAAAATATTATAGTCTAACCGGTTTTCCCAGTGTGTTATCACAAATACCCATTAGCCAGAAACATTCACAGTGACAATTGACATGTAGAATAATCACCTTTAAGCCCTACAGAATCCTGAAGAACTTTGTGATCTAATAACCAAATGTTTAAATATCCGCTGCATAGTATTGGGCAGACCTTTTAAAAATGTAATTTACAACTTTTTGAAAGTTAAAGTTTTGTCATATATGGTAACTCTTAATCAAAGTACTAGTTTATTCCCAAATATTCTTCAGCTATAGCATGCAACAGAGTTTACTTCTGTTTAGCAGATCAAGAGATGGGAGTATTGGCAATATAAATGATTTATCCAAGGACAACCAATGTGTTGTTGTAGAGATAAAACAGAACCAGGCTGTATTCCACCAGCTTCTGGCCTGCGTAACAATTTTGAGAACTTTCCAATCATTTTAGGAAAACAAGGTGCTTAGAAATTTATAAAGAGTTTCTTAATAAAAGAAAATCACTTATTTTGGAAATAACGAAATTAATCATTCTGCCGTATTTAAGAAGTGCTTTGATGTGTTCTGGTAATTAGTATTTACTGCCAGACGAATGTCTCTTGGGCATTTTAATTAATGGGTGGCTTGGCCAAATGAGCTTCTGATGGTAAACCTTCATAAGGGTTTATTTTTATGTTTCTCAAGAATAGCTGTCTCTTCAAAGCTCTTTAATTAGACAAAGTTTAGCAACTAAAACATATTATTAGAATAATTAGGCCTTGGCTTAAGAGCAATAGAGGGTCAAAGGAGCAGGTACTGTTAGAGAATGACCTTGTAAAATAAAACATAGCATTCTACCTCTGATGGGTGTCCAGTTTTTTAACAGCTTATGTTAAGTTACTATCCCTAGTTAGGGACTTTGTGTTGTTTAAAGTTCATATGACAGATCTTCTCAGAAGCCTAAACACACCAGAGTGTGATCTCATTTATCACCACTCTAAACTCCATACAAAGCTGTATTCTAGTCCTTTTAACTTCTAAATTTTCCTTTAAATTGGTAATCTTAGTTATATCAATGGGTTTTTTTTTAGGGAAATGCTTTAAAGATCTTATACATGGTAAACAAAATTTATAACAATTCCTTTGAGGAGTCTGTCTTTTTTTTTTTTTTTTGAGTTGGAGTCTCACTCTGTCACCCAGACTGGAGTGCAGTGGCCGCTCCCGGCCACCGCAACCTCGACCTGCTGGGCTCCAGCGATCCTTCTGCCTCAACCTTCCAAGTAGCTGGA